AAGTGTCAATTGTGGCATTATATTACATCTGCATTTGTCAAAGATGTGTTGTCACGTGTTGTTTTTTACAGTGTTGATCATTATAACCAGTCGCACGTGTAACCAATCAGATGTGTTTAGAAAGGTCACTGGCTCTGAAAATCTGCACCGTTTTTTTTGGTGTAGCCAAGCTTCAGGCATATGGTTTTACTGCCAAAAAGCAGAAGAACACATTTGCACAAGAATTGCATTTTTTGTTCTTTGTGTGTTAAGAGGGTCACTTAAAACATTGTCTGCTGTTATAAGATTAAAACATGCTAAAACTTTAGTTTAGGGACCAATTCTCACAATTAATTAGTTGCTTATTGTGTGTGTGTGTGTGTGTGTGTAATAGCATGCCTATTACTAATATATTGGCTGTTTATTGGTACTTCTAAAGCACATATTGATGCCTTATTCTGCATGATCATATTTTAGATCCATTAATCTCTACCCCATAACTAAACTTAACAACTGCCTTACTAACTATTAATAAGCAGCAAGTTAGGAGTTTATTGAAGCAAAAGGCATAGTTAATAGTTAGTTAACAGTGAGAAATAGTCCCCAAACTAAAGTGTGACCAAAAAACATGCAGTGAAAAGTGGAGATGGTTGATTATTTGTTCGACTAAAAAGTGTCAAACATTGCAAAAGAGTATCATTTTTATTTCATAGATTGAAAACACCTTTGAAATGATGCAAGCTGGCAATAGAAAAGCTGTTCTGAAACATCTTCCCTATAAAACACTATTGGATTCGAGGGTTTAAATCAAAATAAACCCCCTGGAATTTATCATGGTGTATGTGAAGATAATCATCGACTCTTTTAGAGGTTTTATCATTTAGTTTCCAGCTCAGAACTACAATCAGATTGAACTTCAATTACATCTCCTACGTGTGTGTGTGTGTGTGTGTGTGTGTGTGTGCATGCGTGCATGAGTGTGTGTGTATGTGCGTGTGTGTGTGTGTGTGTGTGTGTGCATGCGTGCATGAGTGTGTGTGTATGTGCGTGTGTGTGTGTGTGTGTGTGTGTGCGTGTGTGCATGAGTGTATGTGTTTGTTCGCAGGTCTGTCAGTGTACAGTAAACTCTTCCACACTCAGGGCTCCAGGAACAGATGAATGAGGCCAAAGGTCAGCCGTACCAATCAGCTGCTCTCTGGTATCGCTTTACATCTTGAGATCGAGAGATCCACGTCCTGCTCAAAACACAGACACCTCATGAATGTCAATATGGAGTTTTCTAATAATCAATATTTCCCTCCTAACTGGCCTTATGTGTGTTTTCTGAGTTTGTGTGATTGTACGTGAAATCCTTTGCTTTGATTGGATCGGTTCCGCAGTCTGAAGGCGTCCTGCCTCTCCCATATGCGCAGTTGTCCAGGCTTCATTTTCACCCCACATCTGATGCCATGTGAAGGGCGCGCGGACTGACGGCTCGCAACAGCTGCGACACGAGCACATGGGGCGAAACGCACAGCAACAGACGAGAGCGCCCATCACGCTTATCCATGTTTACATGTACAGATAGAAGATTTAGACTCCTGAGTAAAGAGCTTTCAGCACTGCTTGCTAATGATCGCTAGCGACTTCTGCTGACTTCTGCCAGTGCCTCATTCAGGTGTGAGGAACCGCTGGAGCAGCCCTAGAATCCACACCTGCGATGAGTTTCTTCTGCAGCTAAAGACTTGACCATTTTTGACCAATGTCCTGGTAATACTTGATGCACCGTGATCAACTCTGCTGTGCTGAAGGGACGACATTGCGTTTTCAGTTTGATTTTAGTTTAACGTTTCACTTTTAAGTACCTGGCCAAAAATGAATGAATGACAGGGCCTCATTCATGCAGCAGGAACAGAACACACTTCTTACCTAGACTGTTGCATTGAATTGATGTAACAACAATTTCCATGAATTCATTTTGCGTTTCATGAATGAGGCCGATTATGCAAGATTGTCTTAATGCAACATAGTTTTATTCTCAGGATTTACTGTTTTAGTTTGTACAGTATTTGTATTGCATTTTCTCTCCTGAGTTTACTTGAATATCCTCCATTGTTACTGCATGACCAGATGTGAGTCATGAAACTTGATTGACCTTTAAAATCATGACAAATTATTTGTGCGTTTATGCTACAGTAACTGTTTAGCATTCAGTTGTATCCGTAAACTGAAAGAAATGTCAGCTACTTTTTGTGATTACTTCTGTTTTAAGAAAAAAAATTGGTTGTTAAAGCAAGCTATGCAATCAGCATTTGCTACTCTTGTGTGTTCACTCTTTATAATAGGCGAGAAGATGTGGATTTTCTGAAACTCATGACAAACTCTTTTCGTCCAAGACTGTTTAATTAAAAAAAAGTGTTTTCGGGAGTAATAGCGGTAAAAACATTAGCAGATTGTGTTTCCAAACGTCAGCTTCATTGAAGAACTATACAAATCCCTAAAACTTCTGCCGAGTGACAGAGGTAAACATTAGTCAAAAGATTTCTTTCCAGCATGTTTGTATTAACATTAACACGTCACGTTAGACAGACCGTGTCGATTACTGCGTTACAAAGTTCGGTCGGGGAAATGCAGTGCTCAAATGAGTTATGTTAGAACATCGTTATACAAAAACACAAGGATTGGCTAACGTCTGCTCTCGTTCGGTCAGTGTATGTCGATCCAGCACGTGTGTCGTCCTCAGTGAAGCCGCTTCTGTAGATGTTACGAAGGTCAGAGTTCACAAATGCCCATGAGGTTCGCAGGTATAGAGCTGACCAAAAATTACACATTACAAGTGGACAAGTCACTTCAAACGTCAAACTAGAAGTCCGAGGGATCGTTGGGCAGCGTAGTCGTCTTGGAACGCAACTTTCTAGTGCTTAGAGAAGCCTCTTGCTCCCGGGTTGGATGTGGGTGAGAAGGATGTATGGAGGTATTCATTTAGAGTCCAGTTCCTGGCACGCACCCTTCCTGATGCCCCTCGAGCGCTGGGACCCGCGTCGGGCTCAGTGCTGGGGTCTCGGGCCCCTCAGCTGCACTTGCAGGATTTGACGATCATGTTGGAGAGCTGCTCCACTTTAGGCGTTCGGCCCACATAGTAGAGGATGGTGAGCGGCTCGAGGTCTTGAGGAACGCAGCAGGGGGAAGCGGACGCCTCGGGGTTCAGCATGTTGTACAGGCTCAGCAGCTGCAGGGAAACACATTGAGAGTCAAGTCATTCTTTATTTCTACAGCGCTTTCTACAATACAGATGTAAAAATTGTCAAGTGTAAAATCCATCAGTAATGAAACATTCAATAAAGCAGCAATAGTGTATAGTACTGAGATCAATTTAGACCAAATTTTGTTCTCACCTGATGCCATCAAATCAAATTGTCATCAATTGATATTCAAATTAATAATTTGCTCACTCTCATGTCGTTCCGAACCTTTATGGCTTTCTTCCATGGAACACAAAAGATTGATGCAATTAGTGATTTTGTTGTTTCAGCTTTTACGGAATGTTTTGCTAATTCAATTTGGATAATTGGGTGATTGAACACTTTATGCTTTCATGTGCATCGCTACAAAAGGTATTAAGCACAATGCTCATGCCTCCATTTTCAATACAATGAGCATGAATAGAGACAGACCGTGTCAAGAATCTGAAAAGCACCATAGTCCGTATGATTTTTTTCTTCTTCTGAAGTCTTCTCAAGGCCTATGATGATGCTTGTGAGGAACAGACTGAAATGTAAAGTCTAAATGGACCAGGGACACAATGGTAATGGTGTTGTATCTAATGTAGCTCTCAAATTGAATTTTGAAATTCTACATATTAAAACTTAAAGATAGCTCTGGTCAGACGTGAGTTGCACGAGAACCGTTGACATTTGTGACTCTGGAGCACAAAACCAGGCATAAGGGTCCATTTTTAGAAATTGAGATTTATACATCATCTGAAAGCTGAATAAAAATATTTCCATTGATGTATGGTTTGTTAGGATAGGACAATATTTGGCCGAGATACAACTATTTGAAAATCTGGAATCTGAGGGTGCAAAAAAATCTAAATATTGAGAAAATCATCTTTAAAGTAAAGTTGTCCAAATGCCGTTCTTAACAATGCATATTACTAATCAAAAATTAAGTTTTGATATATTTACAGTAGGATATTTACAAAATATCTTCATGGAACATGATCTTTAATTAATATTCAAAATGATTTTTGGCATAAAAGAAAAATCGATAATTTTGACCCATACAATGTATTGTTGGCTATTGCTACAAATATACCCCAGCGACTTAACATTGCTTTTGTGCTGCAGGGTCACATTTGGCATCATTGACCTCTCATCTGATGTGACGTGTCTTGAAGCGTCAAATTTGTATTAATGCAAACACAATTGAATCTGCAATGCAGTGGAAGATTTTCAATGAATAACGACTGTTTCTCACACAAAGCATCACGTGACTTCAGAAGGGTTTAGTCTTGGGTCTCGACTACACCTCGACTTTCATGGTGCATCTTTGGACATTTCTTTCTCTTTCATTCATTGTATTGAAAAGAGCAGCTTGGACATTTTTCAAACGGTCTTCTTTTTCCCACAAAAGAAAGTAAGTCAGTCGGGTTAAACTGGCATGAAGGTAAGTAAATGATGAAATCTGAAGGAGACTCTCACCGAGCTGTGCGTGGTGTCAGCGCTGCGGAGGTACGGACACGGCCCCGAGCAGAAGTTGGCGTGATACCCTTTCGGCTCGTGGATCCACCTCCAGCCCAGATCCTGCCGGAAGTCGATGTACAGCGGCCGAACGCAGCAGTTCTCCTCGTAGTTTCTGAAAGCAGAAGGAAAGCCGTCACTTTCTACACCTGTCTGTTCACATCCTCGTGCTCTTTGGCTCCTGTTGTGGATTCTGCATTCATTCAGAGACGTTTCCATGCACTTTTCACTTGGATGTTTTGGAGACTTCTATTTCGGTTCTGTATGGCCTTATAAACACGTCAGACAGTCTTTTGAGGCTCAGAAATTCCACTGTAAGGTGTGTCATTTTTTCCCTCCTGGATCCGACCCAGGTGTGGAGTGCTAACAGAGAGCAACACACTAAAGAGCCAGTGCACTACATAGCATACTGGGACAAATCTAAACTTGCAAGCTCTTGCAGAGCCTCCCATTCGCTTCGAGCAGTCAGGTGCCAATTAAAAAGTTAATTCTTACAAGCAAAATCTCTCCAGACACATGAGGTGCGCTGCTGCTTACTGCAACGTGAAGCAGGGATGTGAATTTGGATTTTGCCATCTTTGAGAAGAGAGCAGATCTAATTCAGCTTGCATTCCTGTCTACAGAATAACATTAACGTTTATGCATTTGGCAGATGCTTGTATACGAAGTGGCTTGCATTGCACTCGAGGTATTCGAGTTCATGCATTCCCTGGGAATTTAATCAATGACTGGAGCTCCAGATTCGCGACACTTCAGATTCAAAATTATTGTTCGATTTCTTTCACATTGTATTATATTGTATTTTTGCAGGCCAACCCATAAGTTTGCATCAACTTGGTTCCCTCCACAAAACCCCTAGAGGATTCTTCCACTGGCTTTTGGATTATTGCAGGAAATAAGCTCTGAGACTAACACCTTTTAAGAATATGAAAACTTGCATTTTGAAGCCTCAATCCCATCAGAAGTTAAAAGCTAAACATAGGCTATAAACGAACTAGTCCATGATCACATGACTTCAGCGTCACCACCATTAAGCTTCAGTCTTTATTTGAACACTATTTCCCTAAAAGTTTGCATTAGAATGGTTTGCAAGAGTGCGATTATACACACAATGAGTGTGAAAGCTACTAGAGATTAGATGAGTTTACCTGTTCAAGTTACACTGCCAGCAGCCCACTGTAGTCCCATTTAGACACTTGTTAGCAACCGCCTTTTTCAAGATGCGTAAAAGCTTTCAAAATATCTTGGGAGACTATATTGAGCTTGTGTTCACCACAGACCTTACTTTAGACATTTGTGACCCATGACCACAAAACCAGTCATAAGGGTCAATTATTTCGAAATTGAGATTTAAACACCAACTTAAAGCTGCATAAATAATCTATCCATTGATGTATGGTTTGTTAGGATAGGACAATATCTGGCCGAGATACAACTATTTGAAAATCTGGAATCTGAGGGTGCAAAAAAAATCAAAATACTGAGAAAATCTTCTTTAAAGTTGTTCAGATGAAGTTCTTAGCAATGCATATTACTAATCAAAAATTAAGTTTTGATATATTTACGGTAGGAAATTTACAAAATATCTTCATGGAACATGATCTTTACTTAATATCCTAATGATTTTTGGCATAAAAGAGAAATGGATAATTTTGGCCCATACAATGTATTGTTGGCTATTGCTACAAATATACCCCAGCGACTTAAGACTGCTTTTGTGCTCCAGGGTCACATTTAACCAAAGACCCATTAAAAAAACATTGACTTCAGGGCAACAGAACCAGAAGTGCTAAAAAGCAAACTGGTTTGTCCTACAAAAACACATCATCCCTGCAGAACTCATTACTGTGTGATGATGACTTCAAACGGTTTCAAACAGGTTATTATGATTATTATGTTGAAGAAACACTCACGAGAAGCAGTAGTTGGTGTCCAGCGCGCGTTTGCGTCGTCTAGAGGTGGGCAGCACGTCCAGCCGGTGTGGAGGCAGCATCATCAGGATCAGATGAGGGAGAAGCTGCTCCTTCTGCTTCTTTAGTCGACCCAAATCCTCGTACTCACTGTCCATCCCTGAGGACGCAGCAGAAGCACAGTCAGTCTAAAACTGACACACAGGGCTCGCATTAGAAACCTTAAATGTTCACTTTAAAGCACTCAAGCACACGAGTTCACAGAGCGTCTGATGTGTATTGCACACACAAAACAGCAAGCGCTTTCTCAAAACAAAACCAGTCTTTACACAATGAGTCAGTGTGCTCAGGTTTCTAGTCGTGATACAGCGAGCTTTTCTGAGAAACAACTAGTCACTGGAGTTGACAATCTTCCCACAACCATACGGTCTGCCCTGCCTGAAAATGTAATAACAGATGGACATTCTAACATCTACACACGTTTTCCACTCGTGTTGTCAATACAGCTGTTTTCTGAGATTTCTGCAGCATTAGTTTACCACTTTGTTATGTGCTATTATTTCAGTATCGTCGGTTTCAGATAAAAGCACCCCAAAGCAAGAACTGCATATTATGTCTCGCTGCAAAGTGGACCAGAGCTCACGCTGACGTCTGGATTCAGCTTCAGCAGCACTTATTCCTGTTGAGAAGTAGAAGAGCGTTCCTGAAGCCCGGCACATACAGCAGCTCCAGCTCTCCGTCTCCTGGAGCATCTGTGTATTCAATCTGTTATAGCAAAAGCAGCTCGGGTCCCAGGAGAGGCGTTGCCACTAGATACGGACACCCCTCTTTCATTGAGGGCCAAGAGTCTGAGTGCCCACAGTGGCGGTGCATTCCAGCCAGCGCGTTCCCAAAACCTCAGACACCCGCGAGGCCCCCAGAACTAAGTGAGATTCCATACGGCAGCGCATTCCCATGATCGCAGCGTCCGACCGCTACTAGACAGAGCGCTGAGGCCTTAATCTCATCAGAACGCGTGTGCGATGAAGGTGCAACGAGACAATCTGACGGCACATCACAAGAGCTTATGGAAGAATCCTGAGAAACTGAGCAATCATCATATTGTCCACTGTAAAAAGATCACTGGAGTATATTTGACAAGAAAATACTATTTCAGTCTGTCTACTTAAAAAAATCACATTTAATTCAATGTTACTTGCCATTTCTATGGAATTATTTGTTGGAATACATTTTCTTAGTGAAAACTGTTTCAAACACCCAGTGTTCCTGCACCAGTTTTTTTTTTTTTCAGTGTATTACATCTCAGAGAAAAACAGTCAGGAGATACTGCATTACCAGAATCAGCTCTGATTGTCGCCTTAATTCATTCCTCATCCACTTTTATATGTTGTTGTAATTATAGCAGACCTTACATGGGTCCTATTATGCTTTTTCAACTTTAGTTAGTGTTTAATTTTGCTGTTTGAGCATAAAAAATATCTGCAAGGTTACAAAGCTCAAAGTCCACTAAAGGCAGATATTCTGTTTAACAGAAAACACTTTTTAAGAACAAATGGCTTGTTCGGAGTCGGACTACAGCGCACTTCTTCCAGATATTGTAGTCACAATGTCACTCATTTAAATAATTCCCACCCACAGAATATGCAAAGCAAAGGGGGGGACGAGGCCTTGTTGAGCCATCTGGTGTCTGGCTGCAGTATAGGTCATAAATCCTGCCCTCTCCATGTATACGAATGATATCCAAATTAATCACTACTGCGCAGACTCGGGCTCCAAACGATTCACTACTGTGCAGACTCTGGCTCCAAACGATTCACTACTGTGCAGTGCAGTCTCAGGCTCCAAGGGCTCCAAACGATTCACTACTGCGCAGTGCAGACTCAGGCTCCAAGGGCTTCAAACGATTCACTACTGTGCAGACTCTGGCTCCAAACGATTCACTACTGCGCAGACTCGGGCTCCAAACGATTCACTACTGCGCAGTGCAGACTCAGGCTCCAAGGGCTCCAAACGATTCACTACTGCGCAGACTCTGGCTCCAAAAGATTCACTACTGCGCAGACTCAAGCTCCAAAAGATTCACTACTGCGCAGACTCAAGCTCCAAATGATTCACTACTGTGCAGACTCAAGCTCCAAATGATTCACTACTGCGCAGACACAAGCTCCAAATGATTCACTACTGCGCAGTTCAGACTCAGGCTCCAAATGACGTAATTTTCGCAAGATGACAGTGGTCATACTGGGATGTTTTGGCTTCACGTTTCTATAGTGGAAGGAAGTGAAGACGCTTTGTCCATCTTTTTTACAGTCTATGCCATAGACTGTAAAAAAAACAACAACATACCACTCCTGTAAAATCTGTGCTTGCAAAGGTTCCTCATGATCTTCTTGTCCTAAACATTCTCAGGGTCTCAATCAGGCTCAAATTGGTCTGGCAAAATTTACGCCATCGTTAATATTTACAGGTGAGGAGATGAAACCCGCTGTTATGGTAAGGGGTGTGCCATTTCCGGAACACGCTAGAAGCGGTTCACCAATCACAACACACTGGGCCAGCTAACCCATCAGAGCACATTTTGTATCTCGGAAGGAGAGGCTTCATTGAAACAGGAACTAAACAGGGGTCCATTTCCCAAAAGTTCTGTAGTTACAAACAGAGTTCAATGGAACTTGCATCTATAGTTAGCTAACAATGCTTTTGGGAAACGCACCCCAGGTTGTTTGAGACAGACTGGGAAGAGAGGTGCTGCAATAATGTAAAATATGTGAAATATAATGCGTTTTTGGGACAATCAAGCATGAAAACCTATGCTAGTAAACCCCAAAAACCAACTCAAGACTTTGTAAAAGAGCATAATAGAACCCCTTTAATATGGTGATAATAAAACTACAGACACCATCAAACATCATTTAGAAACTGAGTTAACACAAATACAGTGCAAGTGCGACCAAGAACTACAGTGCATAATCATAATACCATACATATTCTTCAGAATCATAAAAACCTATGATACATGTTTTTTGTTGTTGTTGTAGTAATGCCAAAAAGGAGAACAATTCTACTTATAATTGACATTTCTCTCCCTTTGGATATATTTTTTGCTAATCACTTCACATTGCATTCTGGGATTGCCTTCTCCATGATGAATACTGTACACTATGCACTATTTACTCCACTGTACACTCTAAAAAATGCTTGGTCAAAACAGCCCAATTGTTGGGTTTGTCCCTATTTTACCCAGCACTGGGTTGTATTTAACCCAGCATTTTTTAAAGTGTAGGTCTAGTGTATGAATTTCGTGTTCAACATTCCACACTTAATGTTTTTCAGCTAAATAAGTGCATCATCATCACCCAGTTTGAGTTTGCAGTCTGAATCAAATATGCACAAAAAAAAAAAAAAGATGCAAAGATAATATCCTCACAGGATGTGTGATTCACAAATGAATGACTCACACAGTTGTTTTTAATGAATCGGTCAAAAACACTCCTCGGTCTCAAATGCATGAGTTATGGGTTTGATCAGTTTAATAACTGACTGAATCACTGACTGAAGTCATTACTGTTGTCATGTCCAACTCAAAATCAACCTAGAGCAGTTACCGTGTCCCTCCAGACACTTAAAGCAGTGTCATTTCTGAGCTCAAAGAATCGTTAATGTGATTGTTAAAGAAGCAGATGCATTAATCCTTAACCACTTCTGATCCTTGGCGGTGAAATCAGACCACAGGCAACAAGCATACAATTTTTATTTTGAATGAAATTAATTTACTATATTTTGTTTTAATAATATTTTGTATTTCATGCTATTAAATAATATTCACCTCTGAATTATGCATAATTTATTTCTAAAGAAAATAACACGCATTCGATTAGATTATTTTAAATGAATAGTGATTAAGTTATATAAACACAAGGATATTTTATATAAAGAATATTTTCAGACATAATTACTTTCATTTTAATAGCTTTATCATTTGAGTCAATGAATTCATAAAGAGAGTCACTTACTTCATTCATGAATGAATCAGCCATTCTGAACGAATCAATTGAATCAATGACTCACTCATTATGACTAACTTTCTGCCACTTATTGGCAGTTTCAATGTCAGCAAAGTATCATTTCATGTTTTTCCCATCATATTTCTATATTCAAAATTTCATATGGAAAACATTGCATTAATGCATTAATGTCAGGTGTGTTAAACAGTCTAAATAAATGCATATAAATGCCACTTCAGATGCAGCTTCTGTGCCGCTTCTGCAGTCTAAAGATGAATTCTGTTTATACTGATTTCATTTGACTGGTAACACCTTTTTGTATCTTATCGACTTAATGGCTTAAATTTAAATTCTAAATAAAACAAATATTAATGGCGAAAACTATACAAGAAAATGGCATTTCAGTGTATTTTTTAAACTTTATGTTTAATTTAATGTGTTACTTGCCGTGTCTTTGTAACTGTTTGTGAAATGTACTTTTTGTTCCCAGTGTACATTTAATAAGGTTAGAGAAAACCCTTATAAAGGTAAAAGATGCCCTAGGAAATCAATTTAAGGGGATAAGTATTGGCCTGTAATTGTAAAGTTAATGTCTGTCATTGATCAGAAGGTGCTCCTAACATTTTCACAGGAATTACTAATTTGTTAACTGTGGATGCATAGAGGAAATCAGAGTCATTTCATTTCTTACAAAGTTATCTCATTTGTCGTCTTCACTACAAGTTCAGTAGAAAATCAGAAGACCCTTGAAAGCAGCTGTAAGAATGCGGCCCCTGACTGTCTGATGCTTCAGTCTGCCAGATAAAATCAGCATCCGCCGTGGCTCCGGAGCATGGAGGCCCCACCACTGCTTGGCCCATGAAAAGCAGGCTGGGATAAGTAGGTTCTGGAGCGCTGCGAGGACCTAATCTAGCATCCTGTGAGACCGCAGCTGGGGGCGGAGGTCCGTGGAGAGCAGTTGAGCGGCCCACGCCAGAGCCGAGGCCAGCGTGTGGGGGCGAAACGCTTACTTCACGCCCCGCCTGACCCCGGCGCTCTCTCCTGCGGGGCAAAGCAGCTTCTGACGGGAGGCCTGAGACCGACGGCTCCTTTGCTGGAAATACTGGAACCCCATCAGGGCTCTCAGGCTCCCACCGGAGATTCGGGGGGAAACTGAGCGAAAATCCCCACTGTAAAT